TAAACCTTAAACCCTAAACCCAATTTTCTCTTATCATCGTCTGACACAGGCAGGGGCTCTCAACCCTGAGCCCTCAACCTCCGAATAATGACATGAGCCCAGAGCTCCAAAAGCAAACACAAGGACCATGAGAATCTTAACAAGGTTTCGGAATATGTCAGACTATAAAACTCAAAAAAGGCCAGAAAATAATATACGCGTCGCAAACTCCCTATATTGCTCCCCGAAGTCCACGATCTGGAGATTTGGCCGCGATGCGCTCGAGGCCTTCCAACTCTACAGGGTGCTTCTGCGCCCAGACAAGCTCGACCTCCATCGGTTTAGGCTTTAGGGTTTAGGGGTTTAGGGTTTGGGGTCTAGGGTTTAGGGGTTAGGCCGTTTGATGTAGGGGCCTTAATAGGTAGAATAGGGTTTTTGGGGCCCACTATACTATACTTATAACAAGGAGCCCCCAAAATGGTATAGGTAACTAGTAAGGCTCCTTTATTAGGCTTTAGGGTTTACCATACAGAAACACTAACAACGACTCCCCGGAAGATCTCTGGGCTTCGGGTCTAAGGTTAGGGTTTAGGGATCTTAGGGTTTGCATGAAGGTCCTATGTGCTGCATTCACACGCCGAGAATAGTTTAAACGCGCAGCTCTATCGGGGATAGCAAGGGATAATATGATCCTTCCCCTTTTTTGAGTATACTGCTTCATCTGCTAAGGGGTTGTTTTCAATTTCAAAGGGTTTGATCGGGGTTGGGGTTGCTTGAAATGGTCCCGGCTAGTTCTTGTTGTTTTGGTCCGTCAAAGTCGTACAGCTGCCACGTCTCAGGTCAGAAAGATTCCTTCTTTTCTGTATCTCACTTAGAAGACGACAGATGATGCAAAATAGGGTTTTGAAAGGAAACCTTAAGCCCTATCCTAAACTCTTAATCAAAACCTTGTAAACCCTAAGCCTGAATAGACCCCTAAACTAAAAAAAACTCTTAAATGCGCTGATGCCTCGGCCAACGCTCGCTCCCATGCCAAAGCAATGGCCTCTCGGAACTCCTGCCCGGATTAGCATACTACTAGCACAAGGGCCTTGGCAGGGTACTAGAAGAGTTCCTTTCAGGGTTCTGTAAGGGAAAGGGTTCTATAAGGGATCCGTAATATGGCTCAATAATATAGAGGCCCGAACAAATTAGCTATACTATTTTGGGGGTTCATTGCTATAAGTAGAGAATCGTAGATCACAAATGTTAACAGGGCCCGAATTATTAAGTAGAAAAGGGTTTTGGGCTCCTTTATGGATAATGAGGAACCCTACAGAATAATAGTTGGGCTTCTACACAGTGCTCTGCAAGTTTAGGTTAAGGAGTTTAGGCCTTCCCAGAGACTCCAGAAAACTTTCAAACCCTAACCTAACTTGGACATGGATTGCTCGAGTTTCTGATTTTCCTGTTGGGGCTTGGGGCATAGGAGTAAAAGCGCAACCAGAAAGTATGGTCTTCGATGCCGAAGACCTCTATCTATCTATCTATCTGTCTATCTATCTGTCTACCTATCTATCTATCTGTCTATCTATCTATCTACCTATCTATCTATCTTTCTATCTATCTGTCTACCTATCTATCTATCTGTCTATCTATCTGTCTATCTATCTATCTATCTACCTATCTATCTATCTATCTATCTATCTATCTATCTATCTGTCTATGTATGTATCTATCTGTCTGTCTATGTGTCGTTATATCTATCGGTCTGTCTACCAGCCTTTGTATGTATCTATCAATCTGTCTGCCTATACCTTTGTACATACATGCATAGAAGAGTTATCGGACACCTTGTGTCAGGATGTAGGGGAGCGGGAGCTGTTGTAATACAAGATCCCCCTCCAGGATCCGAGTTGTCATGTACTTGTAGGTACCTGCACAGTGATGTAGACCCCACCAAGCTGCCAACCTGAAAGCCTCGCGAGAACCCGAATCCTCCGAACCTCCACCTCTGAGATCGCACACACACACGCATATATATATATATATACACACACATACGTATAAACCTATATATGCACATACATACTTACTTACATGCAGGCAGACGAACATACCTCTTGTTTGCATCGCTACTACGTCAGAGATGCTCCTTACGAGTCTCGTGTGAAGGGCAAGCTCTCCATGGAGAGCTCCCGAAACAAGATTGAACAACACAACCCTTAAATCCTAAACCCTAAACCCTAAACCCTCCACCCTAAACCCTAAACCCTAAACCCTACACCCTAAACCCTACACCCAAAACCCAAAACCCTACACCCTAAACCGTGTTTCAGTCTACATACACAGGGGCCCTCCTCAGCGAGATTGAAGCGCCTGCGCCCTGGGCTTCTCAGTGGCTCTCGTTTTTCTGGGTTCGAGTTTAAGGTCCAGGAGTTCGGGTTAAGGTTTAGGGTTTAGGGTTTAGGGTTTAGGGCTTGGGGCTTAGGGGCTTAGGGTTTTGGATTTAGCGGTTTGGGCCTTGAGTTTGGGGCTCACGGCTTGCAGGATTTTTTGGCACAGAAATTCAGGAATGACCCATCGATTGGAACATTCCGGAATGCGAAGGGCGATCAGGACCGTGGACTAAAAGGGACTAACGGACTTACTCTCCAGCTGCATATGTACAACACAGACAGGGGGACACCACTTGCGATATCTGCGACAGCGCAATGGCCTTCCCTAAACCTTGCACCTCAAACCAAAACCTTGACGCACACCTAATGGAGTAAGCCGCCATGCACTCACGGTGACTCACAGCTGACGCCGTCGAATGGTTCTTGTGGGGGTAAGCATGAAACTTAAGACGTGAGGCTTGGAGTTTAGAGCGGTCACTCTAGGATGCATGCAGCAATGCGTACCTGGGTGGGACATGCTATGATTCGCAACAGCTCTCCAACTATGATACCCCCCGACATCCTGACCCCGAAACTAGAAGATCCTACACTGCCTACACTTCACAACATCTCAAGACCCTAAGCCCTGCAATTCTTGGCAAGGCACTGGGCTGCGATGGCGGACGTGTAGAGGACAGACCTGCTTGTCCGGAACATATGGAACATAGATATGGGCGTTGCCATTGACATGACGCTGCTCCGTGCTTGTAGGCCACATGGTTGCATGGTGTGGCTACTGTTCCACAGTTCTGCCGT